TGGCTACCAGTATTAAAAAAACTCTAAAATTAAAACAGCAAAATGACAGAGAGGAAACAAACAAGGACATCTAATCACCTCTCAACAAAAGTTTGCTCCAGGCACTGTCAGGCCATTATATGCTAATCAAGGTGATCAGTTGAAACATTCACACCTAGCTCCAGCAGACAAGAGTCCTTTATCTCACCCTGGTCATTCCACAGATATATAAACCCATTTTCCTACTTCCAACAGACCTCACTACCTCTGATATAGGATGCTATAGATGCAGGCGAAACTTCAGGAGAGAATGCCTCTAGACCATGGCCATATAGCCCGAAAAAACCTACAACAACCCATTAAGGAAGGATTCGGAAGTCTTGGAAGTTTCGAAAAGTTTTGAACATTTGTTTCTGTGAAAATTGGAATTGACTTTAGAATCGAACCACCAGCACCGTCTACATCCAAAATGAGTTGTGAACCATTTTTTTGGATCAAAGAAGCCTACTATCCAACTCTAGTACATAGTGTGGCTTTGTCTTCTGGTAGATCCAGATCCATAGGATATGGGTCTAAGAGCTCCAGCTTCAACACAGAAACCTTGATTTCTAAGGAGGTGACTGAACAGAGCAGACGTGCCAAGGCTGCGTCAGACCTGCGCCATGTTTCCCCTCCACCCTCCGCCCACCCTGACTGAGAAGCAACTTGACTGTAATTGGGGTGTATTTAGTCATTAGAGTTACTCAGTAATTATCACTTTCCCATTTTAATCTTTGTCAAAGCTTGCTGGAATGAGAAGCACAGGAAGGAACTTTGGCAAATGCTGGAGCAACCGGTGAGGCTCTGTAGCAGTGGAACGTGGAAGAGAGGCGGACGATCTGCCATTTTCAGCTTTGCGTTTGAGCACCTGTCTTTCAAAGTAATTTAAAGTTTAGGGTGTGTACAAAAGTCATCCTCAGTGTCATATTTTGCAATGACATGATGACAGTCCCACTCCTCCCAGACTCCCGCTTCATCTGAAGCTCTCAGACAAGGTGAGGAAAGGCAAAAAATATAATAATTACATGGTGGCTCAGCAGATTAAACTGCTGAGCTGCTGAACTTGCTGACCGAAAGGTTGGCAGTTCGAATCTGGGTGAGAGCGGTGTGAGCTCCTGCTGTTAGCCCCAGCTTCTGCCAACCTAGCAGTTCAAAAAGCAAACTTTTGTTTTGCTATTTATTTACATGACATACCATGGAGTGGGGTGAGCTCCTGCTATTAGCCCCAGCATCTTCCAACCTAGCAGTTTGAAAACATGCAAATGTGATTAGATCAATAGGTACTGCTTCTGCTGGAAGGTAACGGCGATCCATGCAATAATAATAATAGTAATAATAATAATAATAATAATAATAATAATAATAATAATAATCTTTATTTATACCCCACGATCATTTCCCCAAAGGGGACTCAGAGCGGCTTACATGAAGCCAAGCTCAGAAATACATTAAGGCAGCGGTTCTCAACCTGGGGTTCACGACCCCCAGGGGGGTCGCCTGGCCATTTCAGAGGGGTCGTGAGACTGCCTCCATTGACCCTGCCCCAATGGCACGGGTTCAGATCCAGGGTTTGGTTTGGTTCAGATCCAGGGTTGTTTGGGTTCAGAGTGCTCTCCAAATGTAGGTGAACTACATCTCCCCTAACTCACTTTCACTTCCTCCCAAACTGATCCAGTATTTTCTGTTGGTCATGGGAGTTCTGTGTGCCAAGTTTGGTCCAGATCTGTCATGTATGGGGGTCTTGGCTGTGGAAGTCAGAGCTGAATTGGTCGAAGGTACTGCAGATACCATCATCTGTTGTCCACACTCCCCTAAACATATTGTTTTTGTGATTAATCACTATGCATTAATTATGTTCAATTTATGACAATGAAATTTATGACATCCTGCATATCGGATATTTATGTGACAATTCATAGCAGTAGCAAAATTACAGTTATGAAATAGCAACACAAATAATTTTATGGTCGGGGGTCACCACAACATGAGGAACTGTATTTAGGGGTCACGGCACTAGAAAGGTTGAGAACCACTGCATTAAGGTAAAGGTTTTCCCCTGACATTAAGTCCAGTCATGTCCAACTCTGGGGGTTGGTGCTGATCTCCATTTCTAAGCCGAAGAA